TCGCCGAGCCGGAGTGCGGCTGTGGAGTTGAGTGTTGGTCTGGGTCCAGCATACCGTACTATCTAGGATTTTACCGCGCGCCACGAAATTGAGGGTTGCTGTCGTAGGGAGCCCGTGATCGACCATTACGTACCAGAATATCTTCAACGTTGGCGAGAGCGACGATATGAAGTATTCGGTGATGCTTGTTGGACTCCTAAGAAGGATGATGTACTAGTAGTAGTAGGGAGGGAGGAGGAGACTGGAGACGTGTTTGCCAGGCTGTGCTGCCATCAGACGTGTCGCTGGGTGATAGACGAGCTTATCCTCCCACTGTGATGGGGGTACTCAACCATTGGTAGGTGTATTGGAATGGGCCTGTTTTGAATCTTTCACTGTTAAACCTAAGATATGCCTCGTGTAAACCACTAACTCTGTAGTTGCCGAGAAATGGATTAGTATCATATGTCCCAATGTGAAAGATACAAAACAGGTCGGTTTCGGTACCATCGTCGTCCAGGTACTATTTCAGCCCGTTGATGGCGTTCGGGGAGGAGGCTCTTCTGGATGACCATTCGGATACTCGATCGGGGGTGTGCGCTATTGACTTTGCCTGGGGGCCTCCCAACGCCGATGATAACGTGTCGGCGAGTCACTTCCTCAGTAGAGGTAGCGTTTCTTTTATGGGAAGAGATGAGTAATAATGACGGTGCCAGGGTTCGAACCTGGGTGGATGGGTTTGTGGCGTTTTCAGGTCCGATATGATGGTATGTCGTGGTAGCGATGGATATCTTTATGACCAACTAGAGTGCGCTCCTCATCGAACTGTTAGTGAAGATAGTGATGATGATGAGGAATGGATTCGGGTGGATGTGAACTCCTCCTCTACTACTCGCCACGTCGCTTGGTTGGTACGGACAGGACTTACACTGTCCCAATGCAAAGAGTTGGGGAGATACCCGCAGACTGGGAGGAGAAGCGTCGGCGTAACAGCGGCAGCAGCAGTGATAGGTTGGACTCCTGATGGTGACGAAGGTGCTCGAGGAGTGTGTCGGGTGTATAGTGGGGAGACAACGACGACACAAGAAGGACTTGCCGCCAGCAGGGACGAAGGGACGGAGATCTTCTTCCGTCGTGATGAGCGTCACCAACGACTGCCTTTGGAGTCGTCGATAGCAGCCGTCCAAATTCGACGAAATGCCGGTAGCAGTAATTGTACGTACTCATGTTTGAAGACTGTGACGCTGTTACTCGTCGGGGTCGGTTTGGCTGGGATAACTGCAGCTATGTTGACGGTCATTGTTCCTATGCTGGGCAGACTATCACCTTTCTATCCTATCTATGATGCTGTCCACAAAGCGGGCATATTCCGTATCTTACCACGCATAACCTCAAGATATTTCGTGCCTTCGTCGTGGGATTTGTATACTAGTCGTCGTAGATACTTTAATTTGTAGTGCATCTGTGTATGCGCTTTAACCAACAACCCCATCATAGCTATCCTTCAGTGCATCATCATCATCATCATGATAATAATAGTGACATCTCCTGGGACCATCACTGGTCGTCATTGTCCTTAATAGCATAATCCTGTCTACGTAATACTATGGAGGTATAACCCTAAGTCTAGTACTACTACTCTCCTTCTCCAACAGCTCAAGTGTTGCTCGTTACTGGTTGTGGTCTCTCTTGTATATCGTCAGTCGCTGGTCAGGAGTGTCTCAGTCGTATACCACTTGCGTTATGATAAGAAGAGATGGCGAAGGTGTGGTATATTAGTGGTTCCTTTGTTCCTTACAATGGCTGACCGTCTCGTCGGTTGTCATAGTCGTTTGTTTCTATTACTATTAATACTTACCAACCTTTGTGTTGCTGTACAAGAGCAACAACAGCAGTCCACCTTTGAAGGGAATACCATATTAAAGGGTGATGGGGGACAGGCGTATGATTGGGATTTGGTTATTGTAATACCAAGCCATATTACGGAGTTCTCGAGGAGGTGTGCTGTTAGAGATGGATGGGCTCGGCAATTGAGAGGACATGAGCAGGTAGTGGTAGTGGCAATAGTATTAATGATAGTAATAATCATCAGAATAACCGTGCTGGTCTACGAAGCATTAAATTACTATTCACTGTTGGTGCACATTATCCAGATAACTCCACTAGGGATACAGCTATGGCCGAGATGAAGCAATTCGGTAATAATCCAATCACCACCACCATCATTATCATACCACTCCTCCGTCACATCATCTTAGATGATATCATAACCCTACCGTCCGACTTTGTTGATCGCTACGATGCTCTCGGCACCAAGGTTCGCTTATCGTTCAGAGAGGCGGTGGATCGGTTAGGCCGGTAGTAACTAGGCGGGCGTATCTTGTTCCTCTTCCGGACCTCTATTGTTTCTTATAGGTTCCGTCTTGTACTGAAGGCGGATACGGACAGCTACGTTCATGTGGAGAAGTGAGGGAAGTGTGGTATGGCAAGAAATGGGAGTGGTTATTGCAGGTTATTGGATTTCTTTGATAAGGAGAATATGTGGAATGGTGATCCAGTGTATGCAGGGTCCTTTCGGCATGCACCAGTGATGTGGGAACCTGAGGATAAGGACCATAAATGGTAATGATAATAGTAGAAGTGGGTTCAATGCGGTGCTGTGCGACTCGGCAGTTTCACTCGATGATTCGATCACTTTGATAAACTGTGAACAACAATAGTATATAAATTGAGTTTATTTACTTCTTTTGATTACACGAGTCCAGTGGCGGGGTTCGAGGTAAGCGTCACCTGAATGGTGACGCGACCGACTTTCGGGTTGTACTCTGTCACCCATTATCCTCCTTTTTCACGCACCGGAAACGTTCCGACTTGAAGTTGGCAACTTTCCTGTTACTCCCTTATCATCACGTTACAAATCGCCTCATCATGGTAGTGACCCGCTCAACAGTCGAAGCAGTCACAGCACTATCTGAGCTGCTCGACTTGTGCGGACTTCACCCGTAGCACAAAATTACAGCCGTAGACCATGAGCCACCGTCTTTGGAGCGTGCCGGACGGGATTCCGGTCAATAAACTGGCCTATTGCCAATGTCATTTGCAATCCATATGATGAGCTTGGATGTGAATCCTCGGGTAGAGAGACTGGCTGGACCCCCAATGTGGTGGACGGTCATCTTGCGGGGGAGCCGCCATCGTAATTGAGCTTCATCAAGGGGAGGCTGACTATCTACCCATGGTTCGCTTCTCATTGAGCGGCAATCGGTTAGTTGTGTATGCTGGCCTTAGCTCTGACCTTCTCGCCGCTAAGGCACCAGGCTTCGTGGTTAAGGTGATATTCGACCGCGGGATGGCTGCAGCTCATCTAAGGCAGGGGACAGATTCGTTAATATCATATTAATAATATGGGATGGGATAGTGCAGGTGCCGAATCGGCACTGCCGATTGGAGCCCCGGAAACATGTTGCGAGAGCTGTCGGCCTCCTAAGTTGTGCGCTACCTTGCGCCAGGGCCTGTGAGTGTGGCTACTATCTGGCCTGTATCGCTACTGGTCCCTCAAGGTTACAGACGGACAAACCAGGGACTGGTGAGGTTTGTTGACAGAGAATAACCAAGGCAGATGCGGTACTAACAGTATCACTCAGTATACGGTGAGTGACGATAGTAGATTGGGCATAATCGGTGGAGTCCCACAAGCTATGACTGTTGGCGACATGACGCCAACTCCTCTGATGTGGATGTTCGATAAGGAATGGGAGATGACACATGATGGAACAAGATGTATCATACGTGGTATAGTTGAGATAAGCTTCGCTCACTCTACGCTAGTGGCCAAGTGCCGCTTGGAAGCCGGTGCTGCAGACTCATGTCCTCCCAACACTGTCACTGTTGGATGAGTGCGGTATCACTGTTCCCCATGGTTACATCCATGCTGGATCTGTCAAGGTGGTTCAGGATTGGTTGGATAATTGAGTTAGGCTGTTGTTCGGCTCACCGTGTTGCGTTGTCGCTTGGTCCGTTGGCGACTTCCGTTACTCATTGTTTCACTGAGATGCTGTGTAATCGAAAATATCATGGCTCATGCCCCAGGGTTTATCTGGGTTGAACGCGTGCGTCGTGGTTTCATGCTTGTGATACACGTCAAGATGAAAATACCACGTGTCGTATAAGTCCTGCTAGAGCGCATCGCACACGCGGTAGTAGTCGTTATGGTTTGTCGTAGGTTCGATGGTGAGTTCACCAAGATGACGGGCCTTACTCAGTATCCATGGAATGCCCAAGGTAGTAATAATAAGATGTTACTCCTCTTTATAGTTCCTTTAGGAGGTGGTTATGTTATATCATATGACCTCGCTAAATACCTAGCCCATCCGCCCTTAGAGCTAAAGTCATGGACCCATGAAGATGTCGGAGTTGGAGCATGGCTTATGGCGTTGGAGTAATAACAACTACGGCTTCCTCTACCCTTACGACCATCTTCTTCCTCAGTTACCGCAGAGTCGACATGCCTGTGGGGTTCGCAGCTCCCGAATGTGGCTGTGCATTAGACTGCGTTGACCCCATCAACGATCTGTAAGCTCTGGTCGCTGGGTGGAGACGAGGCACCATCCGGAGATTTTATGTTTCTCTGCTGAACTATAATATCGCTCGTGCAGTATTTTGGCACGAAAATATCTTTTCGCTGGAGTAGATGACTTGATTACTCTCAGGGGTGGCCGTGATTTAGTAATTGACCACTACGTCCCACCGTTCCTCCATCGGGTACGCCAGAGAAGGATGGAGTTGTTTGGTGACGATTGTTGGGTTTCCTCTCTTTCGAATACGGTACTATTTCGCATGACCTATTCCGTATCTTACTCTCAAGGTATGTTAGATATCTCCTCTGGCAGAGAAGGTGATCCCAGTCAACAACATGTGTTATTCTCCTATGTGGTTGGGTGGGGAGGACCTTCAGAATGAGTAAGTGTCATACCTCACCTCGGCCACATCGTCTCGGATAGGTATGCGTTAACGCCATTACAATGGGCCCCGGAGTTCTCCAACCATATATTACGAAC